AACAAGGTTTTGCCACACAATCTTCTTTTTTTTCGAAACATGAAAAACATTATAAATTGAAAGTTAATTTGCGTGCCGTATTTTTCGTTTAATGAATCCATTTGTCATTCCTCGCTTCTCTATTCGCGTGTTTTTCTAAATGGCAAAAACCAATAACACAAAACTTAATTTAGGAAGTGATGTAATGGAAGAGAGGTTTATGTATGTATTTGCTTCCTTCCACCTGGATTTGCACACTCACCGTCGGGATAATGTTTTGAGTGAGTTGACACAATTGTCTTAGCCATTTTTATTAAGTTCTTATCGTTATGCTGATGGCTGCGACTACGTTTCTTTAACGAAAGAAAACATTTTATTAAGAAAAACGTGTAAAAAAGACATGCGAATCGTAACTTATAGAATTTGTATAAGGGATCTCAAAAAATATTTTTTTTATCGTGAATTGACTATTTATTGATAAAGGGAGTGAAAGTTGTTGAACCTGGGCAGTTGTAGTAGGTAGACGCTAATGAGGCATCGCCCGTATAGTTGTCGATGTGCTTGCCGGTCAATTCATCAAATCCTACGCATAAATTGCAAAGTTGTTCAATTGGTAACTATCGCCATTTTAACCTTTAATTACGGGGATAATTCGTATCATGAATAGGAACGTCCAATTATTTGTGAAATTAAAATACGCCCAATAAAAAATATCATTTTTTGGCCAAAGATTGTACAAAATTGTCAAATATATTAAAGGTTTTTGATTAAGCTTTTAGAGTACTCTGGTTTTGTAAAAGTTCATCCGATTTTATTAACCTGATAATACGGGATTATGAAATTGGCTGACTATAAATTTGATACATTAGTTCACTAGTAACGCAACTTTACAGAAATTAGCTAGCGTCGGTATGCTGTCTCTAAACAGTGGCAGTAACCAATAGTAAAAAACCACGCCTTTATCATGTTCAATCATTATAATTATTTTATCAAATGCATAGGTACAAAATACTGCGTGTACATTTGCTTGCTGATTCGGAATCTTTCTGAAGTGTATTCTCTTCTCTTTTGTCTCTTACAATTTCGAGGTTCGTGACCTTTAAATTGTGCGTCTATATTGTTCTACCTAAGTAGGTGACAGATCAAGTTTTTCCTTCGTTCGGCGATATTTTTCGCTCTTCGCTGATGCGGTGGTTTTAGGTGTTGTTTGTCGTAAAGCGTTACCGGGGCACTCGGATATTCAGCCCTCATATTGTCTAGAAGGTAAATTCGCTTAAATGGATCACGGCATTGTTTTTTTTTTCTTTAGGCGAGAAGTCAGCGATTGAGACAATTTTGATCGAAATAAATTTGATTTGTCCTAAAATTCCAAAAGTTTGCTAGCTACGGTTTATTAACATAAGCAAAATAACATTACAAAATGGTACTCAAGTAAATATGCATATCAGAATCTCATATAATCGTACGGTAGATATCGTATATAAGGATGTGAAAGGGGGATGTAAAATTTGGTTGTTATATCCAAACAATCCCTCTCCAGAGTAGAGTCGCGCATAAAAAGTATTATTTCTGTCCTGGAATTCGTCGTAATAAACCGTAATGTCCTTACGAATGATATGTATTGTATTAATATAATACTAGTTAAACCCTTTCAAATTTGGGGAAAGTGATAGCTGCACAACGTTTACCTAACACGGTAAATTATATATTTTACGATAGGAAATTAAATTGTAATTTAGGTATACGAGCATTTGATCATCTGTACAGTTTTCTTTTTCTACAACTAGCGAAATTATCGTATTTAAAAAGATATTCGTTTAAGGTAGGAAAATATTAGTTGAAAATTGAGGGAGCTGTGTGTGCTGAAAGATTTTCGATTTGTAATTTATCTGAGAGAAAGTTTTCGAAATAAATGACGGTCGAATAAGCGGTCTTCTGGAAAGCCCCTGAAAGCTGATTTCAAGGTTGCCATTATTACGTACCAGGGGGAAATCGATGTTTCCCACCTGCACCTATTCCTTTATACATATATTCCTGTACGCATTTCTGATTTAGACAGATTGTTGTTTTATCCAGACAAAACGAGCCCTTCACGATAAATCAAAGACGAATCTGAATTGCTACAGCTCGAAAGGCAGAGGCAAAATAATCATGAAATTATTACAATCCAATACAACTTTAGGCAAACAAATAGAACAATGTAATACTGTACAGGTTTGCGAGGACCCTGCGGCCAGATAATTATGAAACATAATAGTACCCATCTAATAATGCAAATAATGGAATTACTTTTTTATACTGATATTCTTCAGTATAATATTTACGCTTTAGGAAGATATTCGTAATTTTAAAAAATATATTGTTAATTTTCCACATGGGAAAGTATACAGATAATGGTTCTTTTTTTTACAATATGGTGTTAAACATTTTGGATATTTTTTATTTTTAAAAGGTTGTCCGTGAACTTGAAAATAATATGCACATCCAGAGGAAATTTGTTGCCTGTTGAGCACGAGATATATNTTAAAATAAAAATGACGATGTTACAATACATTTTATTTACAATGTACGTATAAAAGGTTCTAAACTCTTAGAAAAGGTCACACGAAGATGATTTTTCGAGGGTTGAAAAGGCCATCAGTTATGCTTTGCTGTTAAAGTTATTTAGTGCCGGTAGACAGGGTAATTCAGTGCATTTTAGGAAAAATACCCCAGGCAATAACTTTGCCTTAACAGAGATTTACGTCACGTGTAACATGTTTCCGTATTTAAAGCTCAAAATGGGGTGTACCGTCAGGGATGACAATTAAATTCCAAATCTAAAGGACTGGTAAACTTTGGTAACGTTGTAGAACACTGAAAAGCTCAAAACCCAACGCCTAAGCACGACACAAACGTCCAAATTACTTTTCGTTAACAAAGTTACCTTCTTCAGGGGTTGAAAAGAATTAAAAACTAATAAAGGTATAGCAAACGTTATAAATACTATCTTATGTTATGGTCCACTGAACATAATTCGATATGCTAACTGCAATGTCCGTTGGACTTTACAAAACAAAAACAAAATAATTAAATTTGATTAGGTAAGTGGTGCCGTACCTTTAATCTTTAGTCCTCTTCAGTTAGTCCCTGTAGCCGAAAAGTATTTCGGACATTCACTGTGTCGTGCTTTGGCGTTGGAGTTCGGGCTTTTAGTGTTCCCCATGAAATTTCACCAGATAGTTTAACAAAAAATGGGTCTAACTCCTACTTCTTTTTACATATTTTTTAGTTAGTTAGTACATACATAATAATGGAGCTTTTATTAAGCTAAATGATTAAGATTACATATTGCTGACTACATGTAATGCTAGGAAAATTTATCAGCTTTTCACGCGAAATCGCTCTACAAAACTTTTAACACAAAAGCTGACCGACGGCTTCGTAATAAATTCAAAGTTTAGTTTTCCTCTACACAATAAGCCATTAACGTTGATAACAAGAAAAGTTTATGCGGGTCCGATGGTTTTTGCTAACTCAACTTTTTGAGAGAGAAAGTTTCCAAGTTGTTTTTAGAGCCATTTCCTTATATTAGCATATGTTAGATAGCACAAAAGATGGCTTCCAAGTCCAGAAAAGGTCTTGAAGTAAGTGCACCACGTTAAACTTGTTGAAAGTTTGAGGAGGTTCAGCGTCCGTGTCAACGACAGAGCATCTCCTTTATTTGCTAACATCAAAGAAATTCGAAATTCTAAATCAAATTTTCTTGAGCTAGAATCTGACATTGAATTTAAGGAAGTTTGCCTTGAAGTTTACTAAATTTTTTATTTGCAGAATAGCTTCCGGAGACATGATTTTCAAATTCGTTCTTCCATTTCTAATGAAAATCTGTTATGAAGTTTATAAAGTTAGGGTAATTTATTTGTAATAAATGATATACCCGGAAAATAAGTAACGATATATGCCCCAGAATTGTAGGTTACAGTAGATAGTCGAGTAATAAGAAAGTCATAACAAACCTTGCATGCATTTTATAGTGTAAAATGAAACATTTTGTAAAATTTCAAGCTTCCTCACTCATAGCTGTACCTTGATCGATACATCAAACTTTGAAGCCTCATTTCATCCCTTTAGGGGTTGAATCTTAAAAAATTGTTTCTTAGTGTCAAAAAGAAAAAGTGGAGGTGCGTGTCCAACTAGTCTTAGGGGTGACGATCGTATGATGATGAGTGCTCGCCTACGCTATATAAAGAATGTCTATGCAAATTGTCAACAAACCTAACAAAGGAAATTTTATTAAAAATTTGTTTACTGGAGTATAATTTAATGGATTTGTCTGTTAAATTAAGCAGTTGAGGTTGTAATCAGCTAAATTAACATACCTTTTGTCTCTTGAATTTTAATACGGCGAATTGTTGTTTCTATTTCTTCTAATTAATTGCGTTATTTAGTAGATAATTATTATCTCTATTATAACACCAAAATGATTTAATTTTCAATTAATTTAGCTAAATAACTAAATTTTCCTCGCGACTTCGTCCGTTTGATGGTATTTATTTCTAATTGTTTATAATAAACGTAATTATTATAATCAACAAGTAATTTAAACGTAGCTTGGATCATTCCTGAAAAATTCCTCTCCATGCTTGTAAAAACTCCCACATAAACCTATACACACTTAGACGGGTCCTTTTGGCGACGGACGAGAGTTTTGCGATTACAATTGAACGATTCACGTCTCAAAATCCATACCTAAGCAAATTGCTTTAATGGAAACATTAATTATGCAAACGGTTCGTACTGGTCATTAAAAGTTTCAGAGAACTCTCCTTCAAAGTTAATCCGGGAATTTTATTTGTTTCACAATTAGCTATTAATTTCGCAGCTTGAGTTTGATATTAATCTAAATTTTCTTGACTAACATTGCAGAAAGTTTGTCTTTTTGAATAATGCGACCAATTTTGTATAGTATCAGTATAATTAGTTTTCTAATTTTCATAGCGTTAAAAATTGGGGAAGAAATGAAGGTGAAAATGACTTACCTCTCATATAGATGTAGGCGGTTCCTCTCATATTTCGTCTAGTGAGCACAACCAAATTAAGGATGTTTCCGAAAATTCCCAGGCAACAGATTGTCGGCAAAACAATTCCATAAGAGTATCGTCTTAATATTTCGATATGCGGCTCTTCATGCCAAGTTGTATCATTCAGCCAGGGACATATCGTGCAACTCCATTCACTCGAATTCCAACACAACAAATTTCCCGGCGAATCGCTCGAATATAACAAAGACATTCTACTAACTAATTTTTGTTTTAATAAATAATTAAAACGCGAACGAAGTCCCAGCTGCGTTTTGGACCTATAACAAAAAGAGAGTATCTATATTGTTAAACAAATGCTTCTTTTTAATTTAAACAAAAACGTTCTAGTTTTTATTGGTGATTTCCTTATTTTTTTAAAAAAATATGTTAAGGGTTTGTAGTGGAGAAATAGCGAACTAAAGGTTTGATCTTCCACATTCAACTACTCTTTTGAACGAAGCGGTTTTTTTGTGTCATTATATTACATAATGCAGGCATCAAACGGAAGTTTGTCTCTTCAGTTTACGTTCTTATTGTAAGAAGATAGTAATAGTGATTTATACTCTAAAGCGCTTTATGCTACATTCGTATTCACAATTTTTAATACAAATAGACTACTTTGCTTTAGGAATTGATAAACTTAGCAATAATATTACAGTTTGTATTTCAAAAAAGCTATTGGTTTGATTTTATTGAAAATGCAATATGTAATTCGTAGCATTCAAGATAAAATCTATGGTCGATTTCTAACAAATTTTATTCCCAACGCTTGAATTACGGTAGGACGTACGTGTTGTATGTATATATGTGCGTGTGTGACTCTTTGCAATCAAAACAAATTGTTTGGAAAATGAAATTTGTTTTGACACCGAACCATGTCTTTTCCCACGGATATGGATAGCGGAAAAGACACAGATGACAACTTGAATTTTTGATGATATATCTACGTAGCATAAGAAAGAAAAGGTCAGAGGCTGACTAGACATTATGAATAAAAATTACCTAATTTGAATTTGACAGATTGATATGAGATCTTTCTTTCTCTAACTGCACTGTGTCTAAGTCCGAAAATACGGATAAAAATATCAAAAATTTTTTTTTAAATATCAGCGTACAATGCATAAGATGAACATGTTTAACGCGTAACGAAAAATTGTTACTAATTGTAATTGTGGTAGATAAAGGCAATAGGATACAGAAAAATACCGCAAAATACATTACTATTTAGAAAATTGTTATTATTATAATTGTTCCACATTCGACATAATGTAGATGTAGAACATTGATTTTATTGACTAACTCCATCGCCAAGAATTTGTAACTGTGCGGTTACACAAGGCAAAACATTTCCTGGCAAATTCATTAATATGCGTTCAGCATTTTACGGTAAGTAGGGGCATTTTTGTCAATAAGTACTTAACTAAAAAGTGAAAACTTACTGATTACTATTAACTACAGCAAATATGCACTAATGGTAAATGTTAAAACTATTCTGATGATGTAGGATACATTTTGAAACTATACCACCCACTTGATACGCAAAGAATGTCATAAAAATTGATGTTGCAGCGTTATTCGATTAATTTGATTTGTTTTAATAGATTATCAAATACATGATAACAACTATTACGGTATTACGATTTTATTTTTTGGAGAACCGCGGACTTTACATAAATGTCACTTGTGTTTTGATCGTAACTCCGAACAAGAGAAAGCGATAGGGAAAATTAAGTAAAAACCTTACATGTTTACGATTAAATTTAGAAGAGGGTCGTTCGTCCCCTAATAAAACAATTACTCCGTGTTCGGAATGTTTTGCCAAGTTGGGATATTTCTGTGGTCAGTTGAATGGTGGATATTCTCCGATTTATTTTTGTATATTGTACGGAGGTCGATAACCTTTTTGAACAAGGAAACTTTTCTCAAAGAAGCCAAGCATATACCTTTATTATACCTCGATCACAGCGTGAAATTAAAATATCTGTTTCCGCTCTTTTCCATGTTCTGACAGAAAGCCAATAGTAATGGTTTATAGTTTCACGATTTAGATTTCTATACATTGATAAAAGTAGCTTTTGATTGACTTCATGATAATTATTACGAATGGAAACCGGAAGAAAATTTTGTCGTACGCCCATTTATATTGATATTGTAACAAATTAAATGTCTATGGAGTAAACGTTTGAGGAGGTTGCCAAAAGTTACGAGACTTTCTATTCATTAAATTTCCTTTTTCTTTATTGGTTGCCGACCCCAAAGGAAATTAAATTTTATGGTGCAAAGAAAGCATTTTTGTAAAGATAGAACAGGATATCCATCCTTTTGACTCCTTTCCCATCAGTCATCTATCCTTGTTATTAATAGCTTTTAAGCGATTACAATCCTTTTGAGCCTTCTTGTTTTTATTTCTGACGTTGAATTTCTTTAACGAGTAATTTTTTTTTCAATTTCTGATGTAAAGCTTTGATTTTTTTGAAACTCTTTTTAAATACTGTGGATTCTTTTTATAGGCGTTCGTTTATTTAAAATGTTAAATACAAGATTGATATTCGAAATTTTTGTCGCGTTTTCACTCTTATTCTGTTCGAAGAAGTGTTAAGTTTACGCAAATGACTACAGATTTGCATTTTAATTATTACTTACTTACTTATCGTTAGTTTAAAACCAATAAAGAATTAAAATTTGCTTAAAATGTTTGGCATTCGCCGATGCTTTTAAATTATTTGCATTTTTATGTTGAAACTGAACGTCGCCGTTAACAGGTTTTTTTTTCTTTTTCATTTGGGTATAACTTCTAGTTAAGTAAAGTAGCAGCATACTAATTAAAATATTCTTTTCTTTTTAAACCATACTACCCTTTTAAACGTGAATTCTTACAAGAGCCTTTTTGCAACACTAATAACAATACACAAACGGAAATTTCGTCGTTCTTGGCGTTCATGTTATTAATCGTATTCAGAATAGGATTTCTTATGAAAACATAAACTCCTCTTTGTAGTTTTATAAAATGTGCACTATCGTTTAACTGCTGTTCTCGCGTTCCTTCAACAATATTTTTCTTTTTTATTAATCCGTTCGTCAATTGATAAATCTTTTGAAACGTATTTCAATTTCTTAATCGTCTTCTGTTTTCGTATCGATTGGCCATTATTTAAGGGAATTTAAGGAACGAAGGAGAAAAAAAAGAGGGTGATCCGTACGAATAGTGGTAACGTCGCTTTAGATTTGGTAGTTAAAAGGTTTAGTTTAATATAGTTCGCTAACCTGCAATTACGTGAGGATCAACTATCGTAAGAAGGATTTACTAGTTAGGGATAAAGACGAAATATAGTAAATTACGGAAAGGGAAGAATAAAGTGGAAGAGATATAACGGAAAGATTGATTAGAAAAAGATTGTCTTCTCAACCACAACGTTGTCACTAAATACTTATAAGTACATTATTGTAACAAAGATATATTTCCATAGAGGTAACATAATTAATGTATGGTTACAGTTTGGAATGAAAGGAAAATTTTCAAAAATTGTAAGGATGATTTCAATTCAATTCCGTGAGAGTGTTATTAAAATTTTTCATTTCATTTAGTAATTCGCCAAGTGCGGAATTAACGTTCAATTTTGCTTGATAATGCAATTAATAAATTACAGATACAGTCATCTTGTTAACAAGAATGTCAACCCATTAACATAAAAATAATTGTTATATTTAGATTTCAATACGGCTGTTCATCTAGGGTTTAGTTGAGCATTGGCATTAACTTTTCCCTAAATTAAGTTCGTCGATTTTTCCCTCATATCAATTTTCAAACACGCTTGTAGTTGCATTCAATTGTAAAACAATCACGGTAAACATGCACCGATGAAAAATAAACTGGAAAGTTGCGAAACTATTTTCATTAAAAAGTTCTTAAAATAAAAAATTATAACAATACTGGTAACATTGTATATATTTGACATAGCTAGTAGCTTCAGTAAATCGCGATCATAAAGTATGATGGTGAGAGTTGTTGGGGTTCAATGTACTTACTTAAAATATAGAAAAGCCCTTTTGTAATTCACCGAAATCTTTGAAACGTGAGAGGCGAGTTTTCTCACAAATTTTAACTGGCGATAAACTTGGAAACAATTTACGCTTGAAATTGGCACTTGCTTTATTTCCAGCTTAATAGAGAAAGCCTAACAACCAAGAAAATTAGAAATAACGAATTAAATTTTAGAATCGTTCCAATCCTTACCGAATACCTTACAGACTTGTGATGATAAAATTTACGATAGTTACATGTTTATTCCCTTCTCTAAGGGTAACTACTTACTATATATTGCTTCTTTATCGTAAGCAGCTTGAAATTAAAATACGAATCGAACAATTGTTTATTTTGATTTTGGAATAAATCCTTGTTGTTTCTCAGCTTCAGTTTATTCTGGTCACCTGTTATAAATAGAGTGACACTGTTGAATCAAATCTACTCTGTGAGATAAGTTATAAATAATAATTTAATCATCACCTTTATTCTGTTCTTACAACGAAAAAAAAAACAATAAAGCGAAAACAGTGTTACGTCTAGACTTGTATGATGAATGTGCTCGTTGCCTGCGTGTGCATTCGCCATGCTAAAATGCATTCACTGATGGGGTAGGTTCATTTTGCATTCGAACGTGCCCGTCGCTGCCACCAAATATAAATCATTTTAACGACGCAACTTCTCCATTGGGAATGAAACAAGTGGAAAATTGATGCAACAGGCCCTTTGAAAATATCATGCAGAATTCATATCATTTTTCTGACTAACTGTTAGTAACTAGCTATTAAAATTTTAAATTTCTTTTTATATTGTGATATAAAATCGCAATTCGGTATTTTGAATTTCAGTAACATGGCACAGGGTACTAATTAATTTTCAGTAATATAACGCTGCAGAAACATTTAATAATAATTAATTAAAAAGCTGTTTTAGAGAGTCGCCTTCTATAAAGAAGTTTTTGTTACTTTATTAAAAGTTTCCCTTCCTTTTAATTTTTGTTTTATCAAAGATAGAGTTGCCAAGTTAATGTCAAGTGATAGGAAACAAAATGTATTTCGTGTATGTATCTATCAGAACAGAAGCAGATTATTCCTGTAATTTGTTGTGGAAGCTCTTTCAATTTGTACTAAAAAAGTTATGGTCCTTCCTATTCATTTTCTTAAGGCAACTTTATGACTTTTTATCTACGTGACCATAAAAATTCTCCATTAAAATGGAAAAGGTAGTTTTAACTCGGGAAAACCAGGAGTAGCGTCGTTTATAATATTTACTCCGGGGAAAAGAGATTATGATAAAATATAAAACACCATTCTGAGCATAAGACGATTTTTATTCCGTAATTTGGATTGATACTGGAAAATTTAAATCTGTTGTACGTTACCTTACAAAGAAAACAGATTTGCAGCATTATATTACTCCAACGTTTGGAAGGATGTTTATTACCATCAGAAACAAATTTCTAGTAAAGAATTCACTTCTTGAAACGTACTTATGTCAAATAGATTTGGGTGTAATTTTTCTCTATGTCAACATCTGGCTCTGTTTTTATAAATTATGCATAAGCAACTTGTATTGAAAAACATAAAAGAAGGCAAAACTGTTTACAAGAAAAACTAGAAAGTTTTACCCTTCGTCTTGATGACATCTGCTGGGACAAAGTATTCAAGGAATTTTATTCTGTAATTCAATGTCCTTCTTAATCGGTCAACGAAATAAAGTTAATGCAAGATACAAACATTTAATTTCTGGAGAGCGTTTCTTTATTTATTTTGATTGTACGAAATGGATATTATCCTTTTGCTTTTATATATATCCTTCAGAATAGTGAAATCTAAACAATCAGCTTAGCATGTTACGGTCTCATCTATTATGCTTTATCCAACAAAGTTATTATAAATTTTAATTAATTAAACAATTACCCGTTCATTAATTTCATTGTTTCCTTGGGACTCTAATCGTTCATAATAAATCTCCAGTATCGAAACATACGAATTACCAAGGACAGCCACATGGTTGTTTGAAAGTTTCCTTTCCGCAAGATTTGATACGATCGCGTTTCTCTAACGTCCGAGGCACGCAGAAAATATCAACTTTAATGAGTATCTTTGTTCGGTGCTTGTGCATTAGCCAGACGTTTCCGAAGACGTTGGCCATGGGAATGAAAGGAACAATGATAGATGGGAAAAGTTGAACGAAGAGAGTCAGCTTTCAAACAACGACGGGTGCAAGCAACAAGAGACCGGTAGGTTTTCGTACTTTTTGTAACCGACCGAAATTCATCTGCTGTAGCAGCGAGGAAATTGAAAAAAAAACGGACATCTCTATGGTCTCTCTCCCAAAAGGAAGTAAATCTTACACTTATTGTTGAATTAGACGCCCACAAAGTACTTAAAAAGGTTCAAAAGATGGATTCTTATTTTTAGTTACGTGCAGAAAACAAAAGTTTTACTAAAAATAAAAATTTTTGGCACATTTGTTAATCAGAGAGATAACCCTCCGGTTAACCCACCCTCCTGTCAATAGCTCTTCTGTTTTTTCTGAATTGAAAGATATTGTCCTATTTTTTTACAAATTGTTGACAACAAAATTGTGTTTGTGTAATAATTTATTAAACAAATAATATTTCTAATTAATAGAACGTTATATTACGAATATTATATTTATACAAAAACGTTACTGCTGTAGTGCGATGACTTGTTTTGACTCCCTTCAGTGTTAAAAACAAAACCAGGATCTTATCGGACAAAAATACCTATTTAATTAACTGACACTATACAAATACGGATTACCATTAACTCGTGCAACACAGATAGTTTAGTACTATCTTGTGGAATTAATACTTAATGTCTGATGCTTGACGTTTATTAAAACTCTACCCCTTTTTGAGAACTGTAAATTGTAAATAACCGACCGACAGCATCAAAGTAATAGAAACAAAAATTTAGAAAAGTGTAAAGTTTTTTGTTTACGAGATGTAAGACGAAATTGTCTAGGGAAATTTCCTTGTCCATGCTTTTTATATAGAAAACTGAACTAACCTAAAACGCCCTGTAAATATCCATATCATGAGCTCTTCTTAAATCTTAGTTCTCATTTGTACCTCATCCTTTTTACAATCAAACTTGTTTGAAAGAAAAAAAAAGTGAGTTAGCCTAAGGTTTTTAGATGTTTGTTTGTCATTTTTACAAACTGAAAAAGAAAAATTAATAAAAGAATTAATAATTTTTTCAGATGGCAAAGTCGGTTAATTTTGTGAAGAAGTCCATCGAGCCAGAGCTTTATTGGCAAATAACATAATGATAATAATAGAATGTTCACGTTCCACACGGTGTCGGCTTAATTGTCACAAATGGCCATTCATTTTTAATTAAGACTGTGTAAGTGCCACTCATGCCATCATTGGCGGTAATTAAAACTGTTTCTATCGATCCCTTTTTTCCGTACTTTTACACTACACACATGACACATTAGTTTTTCGGTTCATTGTACTCTTCTCGGATATCAAGCGACATCCAACACTTTTCAACACCTCAAAATATGCATTTAGTTTTAATTAACTTAAAACCAACGAAAAGTCCTTTTAGGTGCCTGCATAAAAGTTTTGTATAGATTACGCCACTGTGGATATAAATTATTAGAAAAACAATAATTTCGATTATAACATGCGCTAATACATTTCGCGGTTATAGGTACATATCATATGCATGTAGCAGTGACATTTTACAGTTTGATCCTTTTTAAATAATTTGGAGTTTAATATTTGAATAAACAACATTAAACTTACCGGTAGCGATTAAAGAATGTACGCGCGCTCGTTGAAATTCCGCTGACGGTGAGAGAGGATCCGGTTCCGGAGTGAGAGCTTTTGACAGCTTCCGGAGTGCACGATTGGCGGTGAACTGCGTACCCTAAACGCGACTAAAGTTCAAGTCGTCGGTGCTTTTAGCAAAGTGTTTGGCACGCGCAGGTCAGTTAACTAACGTCGCGACGCACACTTTATCTCTTTCCAAGGAGTATAACTCGTTATCAACTAAAATTAAAAAGCTTATTAAGAATTTGTGGAGGAAAATCTGAAGCTCGTAGTTGCCATTTTAGTTTTACAAAATAGGTACACATGGAATTTATAGAATAACTGTATCCAGTTAATAGTTTTTAATTTATTTATAAAGTCAAACTTTTGTAACTCGAACCTCGAATAGTTTAATATTTAGCTAGCTCTTTAACTCGATTTTTTCTCCATTTCTCTAACTGGAGATTTTAATGCGGGATTTACTATTACCACTATAAATTTTTAGTGCGGCACTCAGTATTATATTGCAGCAAAAAGCGGCTAGGTTGGGATCATGAGAAGATTTTAGGGATTATTAACGGTTAAAAGGTTAACTTGATAGTAAAGCAGAAATTTTCCTTCATTCAAATTTTGGTTGCGTTTAGAAGATTCGAGATACAGACGTTTTAGTGTAGAACTAATTAAGTATTGTCAGAAAAATATTCGAAAGCTTCTTTAGCCTTATAATTTAAGATGTAAACAAAACGTTTTACCTCTCGCTGACTCGCTTGTTTAACTTTGTTTTGTTCTTTAAGCTTTTCACTTGAAAGAGAGAGTGAAAGTAAAAATTACTAACCTGAAGTTTTCCAACTTAATTAGTGTCTATCGAAGGAAAAGAAAGATATATTTTTAAAAATCACAACAAGCTTTCAGAAGCAGAGAATAAGTTTTAACTTTTTCAATTTCTTTATGCTTGGAGGGATTTTTTTGTATAGTACGTGCAAAAAGTACTGTTGAATTTTGTTGTACACAAACACAAGCGTCAAAATTTTCGATCCATTTTTAGAACAACTTTCTTTTTGATTGTTTTGTAAAATGTCTGCTACCAAAAATAATATAGAAATAGCATAAATACACTAGTACAATTCGTCCAAATTAGGACACATGTTATCGTTATCTTTACAAACGTACACTTAACGCAGAACAATAGATAGATTTTTCGTTTAGGGTAAGATTATTGGCAATGTGGCATGCTCTTCTTCTTATTCGTATGTACTATATCTCTTGCACTCCTAACTATTCTAAAAGTTGTAAATGTATAAGAAAGATAGGTTCTTTTATTACTTTGAAATGGCTCCATTAGAGAATTTGCAAGAATTGTTTAAATGTAAATGCCTTGTTACTTTGGAATTTTCGTGGAAATATCTGTGATAGTTTTTAGTGGTGTCAATCTTCTCGGGTATGTCTTTTCTTGTACGCACTAAAAAAATAATTTCAGGAAAATATCTTTCTCTATTTCTCCTAAATTCAAAGTAGCCATTATAACAAAATGGCATTGTGTTTGGAAGGAAGGAAGGCGAAAAAAAAGAAATAAAGAAACCTTTTATACTGTCACTCCCAATCAAAATTGAATGAACATTCGTCGTCCACTTCCGTGTCAAATTAAGTCCCTTTTGTGTTGATATTTCTGGCTAAAATTACACATTTACGTTTGAGAGACTGTCGTGGAAGCAGCAAAATATTTGAAGAAGTGAATTGTGTGCGTCAATTTTATGCGAAGCAATAAAATTTTTTTTTCTCCCCGTTTAACGATAGTAAACAGATTTTACGGAAGCTAAGGTCGTGATTCAAGTGGGAGTAAAGGCCAGCGTACCTTCGATCGATTTAAGTTAAGTAAAATGGCCAATAATAACTTGCGAGCCTTCATAGGACTATAAAATTTGAAGAAACCTGTGTTAAGATTTATTGTGTATCGAACCGTAACAAAATTTATAAGGATCTGCAAAAATCGCAGTTTTTTTTACGATTCTTTTCTATCAGAAGGAAAAAGTGCCTGTCCATCTACAGAACCCTGCGACTAACTACTAATATTAAATTGAATGGGGGTTGCTGTGGGAATACAAAAATATATTTTCATAATTTTAACTAATTGTAAGTAACATATCAATTTGTGAGCTAACCTTTACATATGGTATGCTGAAGGTCCGTTTTATATCTCGGCGAATGAATTTTTGAAATCGGATGAGTAGTTTCGGAGTTATTAGCTGTGGAAAAAATTGCACTTTTTGCTTAAAGATTGTAGAAAAACTTTTTGACTTACGGTTTAATTTGTAATATTTCATCCAAGTTTACAATTAACCTGTTTAGAAGATATTACAGCGAATGGAGTCTGTCAGAATTTGGACAAGTTCAGCCAGTATTATTTACTAAAGCATTTGGTAGGGTACGGAACCGTCGGTGTGCTTGTTAGATTTGCATTTGATTAATTGTATTAATAAAAAATTTACTAGAATACAAAGTGTATACCGATCTACTAATATTGACATTTTGTTTAGTGGATTACCTTTACTAACCTCGCGTGTTCACGTCAAATTAGTATAGGCGTTGTTTTGTTAGTAAATCTTTCGCGCGATCAACAAACTTACATTCATTTATAAACTTAATAATTACTTTTTAGTCCTTAAGCTTAGGGCAGATTAGGGCGCTGCGGCGTCTAATAACTTGGCAAGTTTGTAACTTAAACTGATTAGATGTGCGGATGATGGTCTGACCGATCCTCCCACAACAACACAAGTTTAGTTTAGTTGAATTAGGTTGTTAGTTTTGGATATTGCACGAACTTCTAGAGAAAATTGAATATGTGTATATAATAGTATTATAATTGATTATTTGTATTGCGTACAAGTGAAGCTGGTCAAACTAACGAAACATATAAAAACTAGTCTCGGAAATGTCATCTCTCAAAAATTTAGAGCAGTACCTAGTTCCTCTTCTTTTTTTTTCTGCAAAAATTTCGTTACATATCGTACATTCATCTATTTAGTTTTCGAAAGGTGATAATCATTTAGTTAATCTGTCTTGAATGAAATGTACTTAAGTGGATGTGCGATTCAATGACCTCGAACGAGTTCAAAGTGCGGGCTGCTAATACTCGAGGAATCTGGGTTTTAGAGGGCTCTCTATTAAGGCGCTTGTAGAATCAGTAAGGACTTCCTTGAAAGTGAGAGACGTCTCGTCTCATAATCCTCTGAATGGATGTAACGTTCGATGTAATCTCGAACACGAATATATTCAACATTTTCATAAGGGAAATTCACTAAATTGATCCATGAATTTAGTTAAGTAAATTTACCTATCACAAAACTGAATTTACAGAAGGCCAATTCAAAAGCTAATGCATTACATTGTTAGACTCTGATACTAAATGCCAAAATAAATTAGCAGATCATTCTACAACTTTTTTATTATTTCCAAATTTTATGTCGAAAAATTGTATCTATCTGTAAAAAATATATATAGCCCCTTATTTTTATGATATTACTAGGAATAATATAGAATAATCATTACATGATTCATAATTTTGTATTAATGTTGTACAAGTTTATCCAAAATATATCCTGAAACTTTTGATAATAGGAAAGTTAAATTACCTTCTAACGGACGATGATAAATTACAGGAGCAGTAAATTCGCTTATACTAATGGGCCATTTGTTACAATTCGTATTTCTGCGGTCGTGTGTGAAATAAGATAAATTATAAAACAGCTTTCAGTAATTATAATCCCAAAACACACAAGAACGCCATGGGATCGGTCGGTCCAAGCTATTATGTCGCATATAAATTTTGATAGTGTGCACATTCGGCTTGGTACATAGTTTTATAATAATTACTGATGATGCTTATTAAATTAATTCACTTAGCGTCAAGTCTTCGTTCCTATATCTAGTCCTCTTGGTAATATCCTTTTCACTGCAGTAAAGTAAAGTAATAAAATACATGTAAATACTTATCACGTATGTTCAACCCTTACAAAATAGGTAATGCAGGAGGTATGAATGAGAATACGTGCCGCATGTCGATGAATAATAAATTGACTTACACGCAATCTTATAAAAATGCGTTAATAAGTACTTTTGTTATTAGTTAATTGAGAAAACATCAGTAGGTAGATAATTTGACATTTTTGTTCATGAAAAGAGTTCTATGTCGCAGGTCTATTAAACCTACGCAATGTTTATAGTTCGTTAGACGAACAACGAATGAAAATAACCGTTATTCCCGAATATTTTCTGTTTTCATTAAATTAAAGGCTGCGCTCGTTATTTCCAGAACGCCCTTTTTTGTTCATAATACTCAATTTTCCTTACAAAAGTATTTTTCTTAATTCAGACAACATACAAAGGAAATCATGCTGCACGCATAAGGAAAACAGACCTCCCATTTTTGGCCACCTTAATCATCGCCGACCACAAAAATTTGTGAAGGTTATTGACTTCAACAAGCGTTTATCTGTTTCAACTTGATGACAAATGATAGTCTATTAATTATATAAATCCGAAATTTTCCACATAGGTTTCCTTTATGACGTATACAAGGAACGAAAAAGGATATTTTAAAATTCAATCCCTAAGGGGGTGAAAAGGCGTTGCAAAATTTGTTTTCGTTGTGGTCACATTTACTTGAAACTTACTCTTAATGATAAAACACTAATTCTGGTAGAAAGGGATTACAACGTTTGTATCATATTTTATTAGTGATTAGTAGGTAATTAACAATAAAGTTGTTGGTAAAAGTAGTTAAAGTTCAATATTCTATAAATATACCATATACTAGAACGTATAGGTTTTTAGTGTTAAGATTAAGTATTTTTCACACCTCTACTTTATTTTACGGTTGCTGAAATAAATGTTGAATGTGTACATATAAGCAGGGCTGGCGTCGGCGATAAAGCGAAAGCGAATTGTCGCAAAATGTTCTCGACCCCTTTCAGACGATAGCGACCGGTGACTGATGGAGACGCAACTTTATTTTTCTTACATATACTACTGTTGATTCTCTTTTCATTTTACGATTAAATATAAATGACATTCGTGGTTCGTTCACTTAAAACTAATGCGAACGCTTCACTTTCTTTGAAACTGATTGATAACAAAATTTAGAAATGCTAATGGATAAATTTATAATTTAAATAAAATTAGCTCGCAAAATTCTAAATGGTAAAATTCTTTCCTAATATTAAAGATTAATGTGATTTCTTATCCGGAGGGAATGCTGCGTTTTCTTTCCTAAAGTCAGGGAAAAACATCGTACTCTCGGCAGAGGTATGGTAGTCAAATTACACTAATATATTTTGTGAAACAAGCCAAATGGATTTACCATTTAATACATGTATTTAAATTTCAATTTCATCGCAACATCTCCTTGCTCCATTGTGCTCATGTTGCTTATCAAAATTAATTTACACTTCAACAAGATGAACAGATTTTAACTTTTATTAAATTAGCTCCCTTTGCTGCTTAATTGCATGGTAGAAAACCGTCAACTAATTCAACTAAAATGAAAACTTTTTGAAGACCAAATCGGGGTGGATTCCGTCGTGGTTTAGAACGAAAAGGAGTTGTTCAAAAAATTTTTTCGTCAATATTAATTGTGGTCGATTCTGCCCTTTAATTAATTGTTGTTGTCCCCGTCCGTGCTAACTCTTGAACGTCAAATTGGAAAAGCGGGTTTTAGGGGAAACACCATCTTTCTTTTTTACAATGTATCTGTTTGTCTGTGTGAGTAAGTGTATCTATGTGATTAGAAAGCCGATGGGCTTTACCAATTACCGATAAGAAGTCCGAGAGGCTGTAAATAATTCGAAAGTGAAACCAGAAACTAACATTTCAGCAACAATCATCGATTACACATCTTTGATTTCACTTGTACCTATTCGGCCTCAATTACCTGCCTGGTTTAGCTAGATAACTCACTTTGGAGCTTTGATTTGCTTTCATTTTCTCTTTGTTTTTTATGATGAATACGCTTTTTATTAGATATTGAATTCCATTGGGCTTATACGTATAATAATAATAACATAATTTTAACTGTTACCTTTTTGAAAGTTCAAGAATTATATTCAGAGGGTCGCATTGTAAGCAAAAGCAATTTGCTACGCAAATGTTTGATTTACAATTTTATAAAGGAACGAATCGAGTTCGGCCAAATAAAAGCGTAAATTCAAAAACTTGATCTCCTTTCCTGTACAACGTAGGTAGATAGATGTTTGAAGAGATACAAATTGTTCAAAAATTGTCTCTTTCTAAATCTGATGAAAATAAAAGTTGGGTTAACAAGGTCGTCTGCTTGGAATACCAAGTTACACATATGTAGTAATAGGTATTTAAAAATTCGACTCAACTGTTTTTGTAAAATTAATTGCATTCTCAATAATTTCAATTACAAGACCTGACCTTTAGTCTCTTTAATCATCAACAAGTCGTTAATGTAACTACCAAATTATTTAGAATTATTTAGATTTGTCAGGTGAAATAATTGGTATCGGAGGTAAACGTGGATCAGATCGATAGAAATTCTAATCGATTACTCTTATCTTTACGCTCGACCAGGTCGATGAATTTAATCGGTACATGGTGCAGTTTCTTGTTAATTATCTCAGAAGTGCTTTTAAACAGGGATCGATGAATGTAGATATTAAACTCTTCTTATTCTCTATTATTATGTAGCTAGTAGTAGTGAATTTAGATGTAAAGCAATTGATAAAATAGTGTTCGAGGAACGAGTGAAATTATTTTAGTGACAATTGATACACACTAGAAGTAGGTGTTAAAAGATGTAAACGATTAAACTTGAAGTGCTACAAAACTTGATTCTCGATTTAAAAAATAACACTAGGCCAAAGCTATAACCTTTAAACGAAATCTCGTAGGTGGGCACTTTTATTATCCACGTAGAGCACAGTACCTCTAGAAAATTTTGATAACACTTTCATCGATATAGGACCACTCAGTCCGGAAATAGGGGCCATCGTGTGGCATCAGGAAAACAGTAAAACAAACAAAAAGCAAATTTCGCGAATTGGGTCGGCTCTAGCGAGGACCAAGAGTTTCACAATTTAAAACTGCTTCCGTCGAAAACTTGCCCCATTCATTGGGATTTGAACGAGCCCAGTTTGGTACGGATCGGAGGTACATCTGCGGAGCTATGAATATTTTGCCGCGGAGATGTTCGCGAGCCCACAGCTCCTATGTTTGACGTTTTGCGAGCTGTAGCTGGAAAACTATCGGAAAAATTCTTTCACAGACGGATGACCCGTCTCAGCGCAAACGATATGAACCGCATGCGGTCGCATTCGGTGTAGATGAAAAATTCAAAATTTTTAAAAATTCGAAATTAAATTTTTCCTGTACACTTAGGTACCGGCCAACCGTTGGTGAAAGAATTTTTGCGCTATCTTTAATAGTTCGCCAGATATGTTCTCCTAAACATTTAATCCTCGATTTCGAAAATAACACTTGGCTAAAACTTCCGACAGCCATAACTCCGAAACGGACTTCTTAGGTAGGCGCTTTTATCCTTGACGCAGAGCAAATTAAATTGTATCTAATTGTAAAAAGTGTACTGATCGTAGCGTAGCCTTTTGGTCATTTGAGTCATGGTCATTTTAAAGATAAAACACAAAAGTACCTACACGTTTGTGTAGCTCTTAGCAAAAGAGCGAGCTTTCAGCATAATCCAATATGTATTGTGGGAAACTGGTAAATATCTTTATCTATTGAAGTCATTTAGTTAATGTACATAAGGTTTCTGTTGTTTACATATCAGTTGATATTAAATAGTCCGATGACTTTGTATAAAAAATTTTGTTCTGGTAACCGATTTAAAATGTTTCTCGATTTCTTGTAAGTAGTTTTGTGAATAAGTTGAAGAATTATTTGCTTTAGGTAAACCAGTTTATCATTTTAAACGGAAGAGGTGTGAAAGTTTACTTACTATTTATTATTTATCTAAAAATCGAGAATTTATTATTGCTAATCACATTTATATAAACATTGGAAGTTTTAATGACAGCGAGAATGTAACGAATGTTTACTTTATAACAGATTGACCTAATTCTCGGTCTTTCCCAAAGGTACCATAAACGTAGATTACATTTTAAATTCTTATGTAATATTAAATAACTTTGCTGGGGGAGGTAAATTACACCAAAAAACTTTATATTTATTTCACACGCTTAGATATTTATACTTAAACTTTGCTTGAAGATAAAAACTAATTTCTTAAGATTTGCTAAACAATATGAGCAAGTCGTGGGGGTTGTTAATGAAAGACTCTGTGATATTCCATTGTAACGATCTAATCGATATACTGAACTTTTGACAAATATTGTCATATTCAATGTACCTGCGGGAATGTACAGTTTAGGGTTATCTTAAATTTTTTTTTAAACACTGTTTATTTGTAAAATGTGTTGTACACTTGTAAATAATATGTATCTACTTCGTCCTTTTAAGAATTGATTTTTGAAACAATTTTACAAATAAGTTCTTTAACGTTGTATTAATTTGCATTATTTTATTTTGGTTTTGCAACAATAGCTACAAATATCAATAATTATTTCTGTTATTGCATTCAATCTTTGAGAATTTCAAGAACGGCGTCCAACGTTTCTTCAGCAGTAGGAATAATTTGACTAGCTGGTAAAACGAATCCGTAACGTCCTGTATCTCTAAGTTCAAATGCGAAAGTCAAATTCACATTGTGGGTACCTTTCACCCAATCGAAACTGCTTCCGCTTGCAACGTCTAAAAAAATCAAATTTTTTTTCACATATTTAACTAAGTACGTTAGATAAAAGTTTAGCAATTTAAAAAAAATCGCTTCTGGTATAAAACAAGCTTAGAAGGTTCAAATTTGGGTAATTGAGTTGGCTGCTACTTAAAATTTTATACACATTTTTAAGCAATTAAAGCACAATCGAACTATCACAACTTATTTATTATTTGCTATTATAGTTTCTGTACACTGTAGCCTTTTCAAGTGAATATTGTATTGAACTCAGTTGTGAAACTTCAATTGTGTTTTAATTGCTTAAAAAGGGTTCAAATTTGATATGGTACGAGAACTTACATGAAATAGTAAAATTAAAATAAGGAAATATCCTGATAAGATAGAGTTTTATAGTTAAAATTGTACATTTTTCGCACCCAAAAACATACAAAAATCGAATAATCAAAAGTAAGAAAAATAATTCCTTTTAAATATATGCAATTGACGACTAATTGTTTAATAAATATACTAATTGCTTTTATAAAGAATTTACCCTATTAAATCAGTTAAAAGTACTTACACAAAACCTCAGCTAGATTACCAACAGTATATTCCGTGCCATATCTTCTCTTTAAAGCTGTTGCAGCTCTTCGGCCGATGGTAAGCTAAAATTAACATGATGTTAGTATGATATCAGCCATCAACTTTAAAGGACGAAATGTCTGCTAGTTCTTGACAAGTAAAATACTTTCTGCTTAAACACTTACATTACTAATATAATTCTTCACCAATTAATTATGTTATTAATAAAAAGATAAAAAAAATATTAACCAATTGATTATAATTGCTCGGTTTTCCGATTCCTGTGACTCCGTAAGGAAGCAGTAAAAGTTGAGAATAGGAATGGATGCTAATGTAAGCTCTTAGATGGGAAACGATAGAGCTGATGTATGTGGAAAATGTTTGTGTTTCAATTTCGGAAAAGGCACCTGCGCCAGCGTATGTCTCTGAACATGGCGAAAAACTAACGCCTCCATTGCCCCATTCGAAAGCCCAATTACGGTTGGGGTCAGCACCGTAGCACATAGCAGTGTATCGTGTACGGGTTTTCCTCCATAGCCTGTTCTGTTTAGAATAAGCACAAATGAAATAAGATGTTTTTTGTTTTGTTTTAATAAAATGCAACATTCCCTCCCACATAAGAAATCGCATTTATCGCTTATTATTAGGGGAAGATTTTATCTCCCCGCCTTCAAATCGGTTGATTATTTTCACGAGGGGGAGATGACAAATATGATTTCTGTATCTAGGAGGTAATGTTGCATTTTTCGTCCTTAAAATCTGAAAATATTTCACTTCGGGAACAAAGTGCAGCACCCCCTTCTGGAAGTTTGCAATTCACACCCTGAAAGAAATGCAGTACTTTCTTCCCTTGGCACGTAATATATGTATGCTACGTATATTCTTACATTGGTGTGTGTGTATTCATAACCATCTGGATTCGAATTTGGGAAAACGTACCAGTCGTGACTATCGGCAATCGCGCGTACCTCAGGATCGGTACTAGTTAAAAGTTCGTTGAGGATGTAAGTGACCGTCGCAGGAGAAATCCTAAAGCACAAATCGCAATTCATTTTACATTAAAATGCGTGGTGTATTTCGAAAGGTACTTCTTACCATTCGCGTGCGTGCATACCGCCTTCTAGAAATACTGCCCTATTTCTATTGCTGGGAGAAAATGAAACATGAACACCCAGAATGTCGCGCCCCAAGTAAGTTTCACCTCCTTTCACCACTTGAACGTATTCGGGATATTCAGATTCCAAGGATCTTAACCAATCATAAATCTTGAAAATAGACGTATACAGTACGTTTATTAAATGTTGGACACTAGGTACTTAATTTTGGAAACCACATATTATGAAATTATTAGAATACTGATTTCAGTGTTTCAAACGAACTTAGGTACCATCATTGAAATTGTTTCGGCACGCAGTAGCTTCGTGAAGCGATAAAAGTGAATTCAAAAGGCTACTGCATATTGAAATAATTAAATCCGTTTGAATCTTAGCAATCAGTATTTTATCAACTACAGAATATAGGAAATCGTACCACATTCAGACGATGATATGAAGTCCATCCAAGTCTACTGTTTGCTCTATCAGCGGTTAGGGGATTTTCCGTGTCAATTCTCTCTTGGACGTTTTCAATAAAAACAGAAGCTTTCATACCCTGAGACTCGATTAGTTCTGTGAATTCGCCGTTCATATGTGGCGGTACCATTATGTCGATAGGTCTTCCATCGCGTCCAAAACTCCAAATAGAATATGCGTCTGATGACCCCAACTGAGCAAGAATTTCGGTTTGCTGTTCATTATCAGGAATAATTCTGTACACTTTATAATTATCAAACCTGGCAACTTGCTCCGATAGCGGTAAGGTTGCCAAAATCGCGACGGCTAGAAGACGGTACATCTTGCAAAGAAAAAGATAAATATACAGCTGTTGAGGATTCCAACTTTTAGTTGAATAAGTATTTAGATCAAGTTTACAGTATATCTAAAGTTTTTTTATGATAAAGTATTAAGAACAGGAAGGTATCCTGCAGCGATACATTGACTGATAAAAGTTAATTTTCTCTTTTTGACTTCGTTAGAATTACTTAAATAAATGGAACATGCTTCAACTGCAAATTACTAACAATTAGTCTAAAGTCTATATTGTCTAGCAAAAGTAGACCTAGACAGAAGAAAAATTGATAAAATCATTTTTGTAGAACATGAAATATCTATCAGTCTAGAGAGCATTCACATACGAAATTTAGACTTTTAACAAACTGAAATTTGACGCTCCTCATCATCTATTCGTTGACTATATGTCTTTGATTGCGGTGCATCGTAATTTTACTGCTTTTCGAAAAATAACTGCTGTAAACTTTATCAAAAACATTACATATAAACTTACCTTTAGCTACTTTTCAGTTAAAATCACTAACTGCACAAATTTTCAGTCCCAAAGTCCTTTTAAATGTGGGACTACAATAAATCATGTATGGGCTTGATTGATTGTCAATTGAAATTCTTTTCAAGTATATATTTATAAAGACAGATTAGTTAAGGTTTAGATAAATTCCAACTAAATGCTTAAAGCCTTATGAGACAGTTCTTGGAATAAAATAAAGGAATGGAATATTTTTATGACAATAATTAAACAGGTACACTAGAATTCGTTAGTGTCAATTGCGTATTATGGAATATTATTATTTATGTTAGACCTTCGTAAACCATGAACAAACTAACTTTCATTGATGAAAAAAAGTGTCTTAAAAATTAATATTTCGTCGTTGCTATTTGGATATTTCTTTAAATCGTCGATATATTTCGTCCTTCCGTAGTCGTATTATCATTGGCTCAAACAGTAGCAATTTTTGTAGATGAAAATAAAAAGTATTTGTGTGGATCTCAATTAAATAAATCTCAAAATTAAAAAAAAAAAACAACAAAACGGGTTTCAATACACCAGACGCCTGTAGATATCGTCCTCATTTAGAGCTTTATTTAACAAGCAAGAGGAGTCATAAAATACTTTTATTTTTTATAAATGAAAATTTCCTTTTATTGAAATCATTTTCCTAAATCTATATAAAAATTTTCTGAAACACCTATAATTTTCTGTAATTTTTAGGTAAGTTTAGTCAAAACTGTAATGTAAATTATATAGATGTCTATACCGGTGTTTAACTTAAAGAATCTCCTTCTTTTGTCAAGTTTAACTCTGATAACTTTCTAGGACGAATTTCCACGGTGAGCTTGAATTTCTCACATTTTCACTAGATGGCAGCTGAAGGATCTCTTAACTCCAGATTAACAATTATTACATGTTTAGCTAAAAATTTTATGGTAGTCACATTAATTAAAAGCAAAGACGTACACATCATTTATAGATAATATTGATTTCTAATCCGCTAAATGGATAAATTAATTAAAATAGAGTTGATTTACTCTATTTATTGCAATCGGTGTGATAACCAAGGATTTTATTAACGATCAAAATGTCAGTTGCATTTTTTTACGATTGTGATGTATTGTTTTGCACACGTTTCATTAATACCTTCAATATTTAAATATCTATAAACAGAAGCATTTGTGATTGATGATTTTCCGTCTTTTTATACGATAAAACATAAACTAAAGTGTTGATGTTTTAATCTTCAACAAGTTATTAGATAAACTTATTCAACACTAAAATCATGGTGAAAAATGAATGAAAACGCAGTATGAACTTTTATTTCATAAATGCAATGTTGCGCCTTAGTATTTGAGAGTGCGTATAAAAATTCAGTAAAAAGATATACAAATATACATACATTGTGTTGATTATATTTATGGAAAAAATAGATATTATTTCCAGAAACATTTGGCAGAATTGAATTTCATATATTAATGTTTCAATTTTGGAAAAATTGTATCAAGTTTAATAAACGCAATTGAAAGCTTTTGAGGAGTGTTTCTTACACTTTGTTCAAAGGAGTTTAGGAGTTTGGTTAGTCTAGGACAATAATTTTCAAAGAAGTAGATGATAGACGTGGTTGAAAACACATATTTCACATGTTGACTAAATTATTCATTTTCAGTTAGTACGACGATACAGAGACACTTCAATTTTATTTATATGTATAGATTCTCTGAATATTTACAAGGGCAAGATTAACAATACATGACATATTCACTCGGAATCCTGCATATGTATAAGTGTAAGTCTGTTATTTGGAAATCATTACACAGTTTCGTAATTTTGTAGTTTCCAGGGAGTTAAATGTATCGATTTAACATTAACACAAACACAACGTAGAAAATATACATACTGATGTGTATACCTATGTATCACACCCATAAATAAGGTTCAGTCTGGAATTCCTATCAAGTAATTACCCGTAGAATTTCAAAGACGGTAATATGCAAAATATAAAATAGAAACAGATATGTAATAATGACGGTTTGCTTGTACTTTACAGATAAAAGAAAAGGTACAAGCTGTGGGTATTTTGTTGCTTTTTGGTATTGTGTCTGTATTTCCATTACGTTATTTATCCGCTGTCCTCTTCATATTAACTGTAAATTACATAATTACTTATCTAAATTTGGGTCTAATATCCCAAACCCTTATATATAAATCACTATACATAGATATGCTAATCCGGAAATCCTCTCGTACCATAGCCTAGCCTAAATCAATACTACAAAGCACTTCACACATATCAAACAGGGAAAACTATCCCATCATAACCTAGCCTACCCTGGTGCAAAACATGTCATACAAGATAATTACGAAATCTTCTCTCACCAAAGCCTAATCTAATACAATCGTGCATATCACTTCACACGTATCGATCCTGTCATAATCCTAATGTTAGTGACCAAATCCATATCACTTAACCCCTGCCCTATTGCATAGCCATTTCCACCCTAACCTAACCTAAACCATGTATTGTTAACTTGAATAACAAAGATGAGGTTGCATCAGAATGTCGCCAGTCTTAACACTTTAATTGTCCCGATGTTTATCGTTCTTTATTTAGTAGACCCATCTGAGTAAGCGGATTAAAACTACTTGAACCGAAATGTTAATTGATCAGTCCTTTGTAAATAAATCCTTTGTACCAAATTGACGCACAAATTTATATGCGTGAACACTGTTCGATTATTAACATCAAGTTTGTTTCGGTGAATTCGGTAACATCCTCTCATTTTCCCCCTGTTTCAACTTGTTAATATTATGTACCCTCTCTTTCGCAATATTACGGATTCATAAACTACGTGTTTCCACTTGAGGAGTCAACTGTGCACTTCATTTGGAACGCAAAATCTGTTGGAAAGTTTTTATAAAACGTTTTGTGATTTTTCCATGTTATTTAAGCTTTTTGCATTAAAGAGCATACGACTGTATGTTCCCGCGAAGAGATCAGGTTTCCCGTTCATGCAGACGTTAAATCACCTACCTAATTTAATTCAAGGAAAAAAACTGATTGGACTAATAGACTCCCTCTACGTTTCATATGCACATATGTAAGTGTAAAAATGCGCTGTCCCACATAAAATATCTAGTAAGTTAATTCGAAGGTGCAGCTTGATCTATGTTCGTACCTTTTATTTCTTCGGGACCGGGACTTTATTGCCTTTTCGTCGCTTCAGATGAAAAATTTTTCGCAATAAACCGCTTCTCGTAGCCGTTATCTACGACAAATTGACGAAAAACTCATTCGAATGCCGGAGGCATTGTTTGCGAATTTTGACAAAGTGTGCGTGCGAAGAGAAGCATGGACTGGAAAATTTGACTAAAGAAAAGACGTTATTAAGTTGCCTCTGTTTCCTGGGGAATGGAGCAAATAAAAGGGGAAATAAACGACAGAAAATGAACACTGGAAGATTTTTTATTGACAAATTGAATTCGCGATTGTAAAGTTTAAATTATTCGTGGGTATGCCTTCAGATTATCCTTATACAGGCAAGGCAAAGTATTCACTTTGTCTACGTTTTTTCTTTTTTTGTCGCACGAGTGAAAGTGTATAATTAATCTTGTTATTGTCAATTAGATACTAAGAATTTTCAAATGGTTTTTGGGGCTCAGAAATAACCAAGAGTTAATAAAAACATAATTTTCCAAATTTTTCTTAGCAACTGTACATAAAAATCCAGTACATATTATGTTTTGTATGCGTATGCTGTATTTATTTAGTTTTACAACTTTAGCTTAAATATGTAATGGTTTGTTTGTCTGTTTCTATTCATCCTAATGGCATTTTTTTATAATCGCGTGATTTAGTCGCCGTGATATCCGACGATGAGTCAAGATATACGTACACACTACACACTACACATACATACATACACAGACAAACATTTTGTTTACTTCATTTTATTACATTTGACGGACAAATTGCTCTTTAAGGAATCGAAATAAATATATAATAAATAGAAAATATAATGTATAGCAGTTAGATTGACTTAACAAAAAATAGGATAACGAAATAATTACTTGCACTACATTTATGTTGTATACCTTTATACAAAAATCTTTGAATTTTTTATTGTGAANCGAGTGCTATTAATTAATTGAATTATCGCGTTAGTTTTCGTAGATTAGTAAAGAAAACTTATCCGATATCGTGTTGTACAATCATCAATGTGAATTTGAACAGTGATTGGAACGAAAGTTTTACTTAGGATTAGGATTACGAGTGGAGTGTAGTATAAATGGTGAGTTATTGAAAAAAAAGTTATCACCCGTTTTGATCATTACCTTGCATAATCGTCATCGTTAAATTTAGTGTTTGTTATGTTTTATATAATAAGGGTGCTTATTAATTTTTTAAATTGGGAATGCCTCAATTTGTTAATAAAGACTGAATCCGAACGCGCAAGTACTAGTTGTTGATTACAATTGTGAACGCTGAATTACACAATGATTTTAATTAAGAATTTAAATTTTCAAATTCAATTTTACCAATACCTACTAATTTATTTTATAATTATGTATTAATATGGCGACTACATCTTATCATATTGAAATTTTACCTTAAAGATGACCGAAATTGACGGCCGAAACTTCGCTGTATTAATACGCAATTAGAGAATAAGGTAGTCGGTATTGGCAAAATTGAATTTGAAATCTTTTGAAATACTTTGCTATAGATTCAATCTAGTGACGTGCATAGGTAGAAAAGAAGTAATCAGGTACCTAGCAGTACTTGATCTTGTAGAGTACTTAATATCTGATTTTGTTGATTCCTTAGGATGCTCCTATTGATCCCACAACGGTGAGCGATTTTTAATTGCTTAGGTATATTTGTTTAGCTATAACTTTCACTACAGTTTATTATTTGGGGAATAATTTATTTATACTGAAAGAATAAGTAATCTTTAAACGATATCAAGCAGGTATTAATAAAGAAGTAGTACTTGGTTATTTTATTCATCTTAATTTGTTAGAAATTGAGGCTGCCTTTTGCAGCTTTAATTCCTCAAGCGTACTACCCATCTCTTTCTCTCCGAATGCTCACTCTCTCCATCTG